CCCCTTTCTTCCGTCTTGGTGGTTTGTGTGCCGCTGGGTCCCGGGGGGTGGGTGAGACTCCTGCTAGGCGCGTTTAGGGCTTGGGGCGTGGCTCAGCAACAATCCCACCCAACCTTACATTTAAGGCCAGTTTTTAAGTCTGACACTGAATTATGAGACAAGGACCCAAAAGACAGTGTCAAACATAAAAACTAGACTTCTTAACTTTGGTGGCTTGACTTAAGGGGAGTTGGGTTACGGGTTACGCAGAGCTTTCAGCAGTTGTGTTCTCCACTGGCTGCTGAGGCTGTGCTGGCTGCAGGCCTGGCCTTCTGACCTGCCTGCTGTCCCTCTCCCTGTAAATATATTAGGTTCCATTATCACCAAAGAATTATTGTTTGATCAAGAAATAACCATATTTCAAGATCCTTTAGGGGAAGACTGAAAAGTGCTAAGAAATTTCATTATCAATTCAAGTCAATATGTAATTCCACTTATGATAAACTTAAAATTCAAAAGTTCTTAATCCTACAGTAGCAGTCAAACAAAACAAAAATACAATGAAGATCACAAAAACAGAGGAGGGAGAGAAGCCAAGGAAGGTGGTCTTACCACTGCTTCCGTGCGAGCTTCTGGTTGCTCTCCCTCAGACTCAACATTTCCTTCTTTACACTCTTCTGCTGATGCTTCAGGCTGAAAAAAGCACATGCAAAGCCTTATTCTAAGCTAGCCATTTGCAAAGACAGGACAGGAATATGAGTAATGGGCATACTCAAGCCAATTGAAACCCACATGGACTAAAGTGTGTTCCAGCTCCCGCATGCAGCCTAATCTATCCTAGATTGACATTTATACAGATAAAAGCCATTGAATCTTTATTACTATTATCTCTTTAAGAGGGATCAAGCAAACATCGCTTTCCATAGTACTATAATTCAAACTTTGGCAAGCACAGCAACCTCCATATGTAAAAAAGGTGCACTATATAAAAAAAAAACCTGCTTGAAGCTTCACCTGATCTGCTCAATCTACCATGCATATTGAAATCTAATAATCACCTCACTGTAAATAAGACCACTTTATGCAGAATTTCAAAAAGTGACAGGGCAAAATTGTTACCTGGCTAAATGTTTCTGCCTATTCTTTTAAATGAAGGAATATCTCAATTCACATTGTCAACACTTTAGCTGTAATTTATAATCCAGGACAATAGCAGCAAATATAAACACTAGTATGGGGAATTTTTAGCATTAACGGAGGGGGTAGAAAAAAGAGCAATCAAATCATGTGTAATGTGAAATCAAATGAAATGGGGAGGGACAGGTCTCTAGCAAGCATTATCAACCCTTATTGCACGTTACATAAAGCAATACCGGAAATTCCCAGCCATGGCAAACTTCCAGTTAGTGCCATAAAAATATTCTTGACGTAAGAAAATTATAAATAGAAGGTTCTACACCATCCGAAAGCTGGAACACAACACGAGTGATCAAACTAAAGGCATTGGATAAAATAAAAGTAGAAGTGTTGAGACAGCATAAACCCTGTTATGGCCAGCCATGCAACCTGGCAGCCCAGCTGTAAGGGAAAGGTTGAAGGATAAACTTGCCTTCTGTCCCTCAGCCGCTACCTGTGTCTGCGTTTCCGATGTCTGTAAGGCAAACATGCAGTATGAGGACATGCCTTAGTCTAAGGGAAGGACTCCAGATATGACATGCTAGTGTTAATATCTACATAGTCTACACAGTGTGGGGAAGTGCAGCTACATCTGCCAGGAGAAAGGAGAGATCATATTTCCATCCACAACTGAAATTTTGACAATTTTCCTAATCCATAAATGCCACAACCTCAACATTTGAGGAATGGTTTATGGAGTGGAAGGAGCGAACTCTTCTTTCGAACTTCCAAAACCTATTAGGAAAGCAGATTGGTCCTATGTGGCACTGCTTACCCTGGCTCTGGAGCCCGCTGAAGCGACCGCCACGGCCACGGCCACGGCCTCCACGGCGGAATCTGCGGCGTGGGACCTCCTCTGGGCCGCCCATCATTTCTTGCTGTGGTCGGGGAGCACTATAGTAACGCGGAAGTATCCACGTGGGGTGCGTCTCCTCTGCCCTGCTGCGGCCTCGTCCCCTTCCACGGCCTCTCATGGGCACAGCTTCTCCCTCCATCATCTCTCCCTCATAGTCAGCATAGCCAGCATCATAGCCCCGCGTCCAGCTCCGCGGCCACGACCACGCCCAAAGAAGCGGCCACGGTAGAACCTGCGAGGCACACGGCCACGGAATCCACCTCCTCGGCCGCGGCCCCTCACCTGTGGTGTGAATTCTCCCCCTCCCTCGACCTCTTCCCCTTCCTCTCCAGGAGCTGCACGACGATAGTAGCGTCGGCGGTAGCCTCGGCGTCGGTCTGCTGCGTAGGGCGACCCCTGCAGGGGAACATCACGGTCATGAGCATAAGACGACCCCTGCGGAAGTACACAATGCTACAGAAATCTTGCTCTGACTTAGGATGCTTTCCAAGTAATCTTACGATTGCCTGAACAATGACCAATCTTATGTTCATGGCTCTCTTTCTTCCACAGGCTCGTCATTAATATATTCACATCCATACAAAACAGCATCACATTAAAAGTCGTTTGAAAGCAAATACCTGTCTTATCCAGCAGTTGCTGCCATACCTTCAGTAGTTGAGTACCAATGTGCATGCATAGAGGAAACAGCCAAACTCTTACAAGCTGATACAAATCAAAAGGTTTGGCTGGATTGTGAAAGGGTTTATATCAGACAAGACCAAAAAGTGGAACTGCAAAGCATTACTTGGAAAAAATTATAACTGAAAAAAGGCAATCTAATCTAATGTCAAGAGCAGAGAAGACTATGAATTGGAAAATATTTATACTTCGATTTAAGCAATAACAGGCGAGCACTGATGCGCATTTGAACTTTTAGTGAATAACTTATGGGAAACTAGGGAGAGTGCAAGGAATCATTTGGAAAAAATGCTAAAGAATGTGAAACATAACATGCAGTAATGAAAAGGACAGCACACAAGTAAAAACAATTTTCAAAATCAAAAAGTGCTGAAAATTAATGCATCCCTTGGTTTGATACCATTATGTTCTTTACCCCATAATTTATCACTCCATCCTTATCATGCACTACCTAGAAGGGAATACTGCATCAACCTGACTCAGAAGCAATACAGCAGTGAAAAAATTTAAAATCTAACATCTAAAAGGCCAAAAGGAAAGGACTGAAATAGGGAAATGTGTAAGCTTTTATAAAAAAATAAAAATAATTTAAAGAGCAATAAAAGTGCAGTGCACACCCATATAGTTGGGGGTAAGCACTCATAATATACAAGAAACTCTGCTCATGCCCACCTTCACAGCCTCTCCACCAGGCCCAGTGACATTGGCAGCCTCGTTGCCCTTCTCGCCAACCACAACATCGAACTCCACCTCCTCCCCGTCGCCCACTGAACGCACGTACTTCCTGGGATTGTTCTTGGTGATGGCTGACTGGTGGACAAACACGTCCTCCTTGGTGTCATGCCGGTTGATGAAGCCGTAGCCACTCTTCACATTGAACCATTTCACAGTGCCGGTTACCTTGGTGGCTGGAAGGATGAATGGGCACAATATAATACAAATGTTGAGTGGTTAACAGAAAGCATTTATAAAATGGCAAATCAAATCTGGAAAGTCACACACAACTGGAATATTTCATTTCAAAAAGACTAATGGAAAATTTTAAGGTAAACTAGTTAATGACTGATAAATACTCATCTTAAAAAATAATCTGACTTTACAAAAGGTTACTGAATTTAATTTCTAACCTATTTTTGGTGGATAAAAATCATTTAAAATTTGGGAAGTTTATACTTTAACTGTCAAAAATTGAAATTTATTTGCAAAGTACTTAGTACTTTGATAAACTAGGTCTCAGCTCAAATAAGTCAACTATACTGAAGATAAAATGCTTGTATACTTTCCCTTTACACAATTTAAATTTTACTTCCACACAGAAGTAGACATGTCACAGCCTCTCTGAACCAGTATGTCCTTTAAGTACTGTTATAAATGAAAATTAAAATTACTTAATTCAAAATATCAAATAGCTAACTGCCACAACTAAAATATAAATCCATGTAAAATTACATAATTATACCATCAAATACTAACCAATCACCTAATGGATGCTGCAGCAGTAATGTATTTGGTAATATATTCAGGTACAACATCCTTTTTTTTTTTTTTTTTTTTAAGACATAAAATACTATTACAAAGATATTGCATCTGTACTCCATCACTATGGTAACAACCATATAATTGTCCATGAGCAGTTTTTTATATTATTACTCAGTTATGACCACCTCCACTCTATATATATACTACTTTTCAGGCAACATATGTAGACCTTGTGGAAAAAAATATATCAAAATTTACATGTTTTAAAGTCTTCCCTCAACCCAAGTAGTATAAGCAATGTAGATTCACAGTAATCTGCATGTGACAGGGTAACAATCAACTGGATCCTGCTTTTTGTATTTCCTTTCCTTCAAGATTGGAGGGTGGATGTTAGAAGGCACCTTTAATTTCAACCAACAAGTTTAGCACACTAGATATGTTTACAACACTATCCATGTGATGACCCATCATATTTGTAATAGAAGTCCATTACATTGTCTTTCTGTAAGTGCCTTGGACCAGTCTTGGAGGTGATTGCAGCAAAGGGAGAGAAATTATACAATAGTACCATCTCTCCTAGAGTCCCTCTAGATCCCCAGAATTCCTAAAGGGTTATATTAGATATGTTGCAAATAACTGGATACCTTTCCTGATTAGTTTTCTTTACATAATGCTATAATTCTGAAATCTATTTTCTACTTTACGATGTTCACTGATATAATTGGTGGGAAGAGATTGGTTCTGAAGAGAAGGAGCGACATAGAAAAGGGGTAACTGTCAGAAATATTCATGTACAACACGAATTTTTTTTTAAGCAATGTTCAAACAAATGAGGTACCATACACTTCTTGAACAACTGGCCTTGGGAGATAGGTGAATGAATGAAAAAGAAAAGGAGATTAATTAAGGTAGACTTAAGAGGTACTTGCAAAATCAAATCAAACATTCAAGAATTGTTTCTTAGCACTCCCTAGATGTTTGAGAGGCTATGTTCTTGCCTTTTGCCAAATGTTAGATTTACATACTTGATCAACTTGGATTTAAGAGTGTTATTGTACAAAACTTGACAGCTAAATCCATAAACAATACGTAATTTATACAATTACAGTTACCCATCCATTTCAGAAATATTATTACTGTTTGTGAAAGTCCAAAATCTAATCTGATTTTTCTGGCTCAATAACATACATTTAATCTACATAAATAGTATAGTCAAGGTAATTCTCAAAAGGTATTACAATCTGAGGAAAAATCTCAATCCAGTAACTGCAATTTAATAATTTGTACACATTTTTAGGAGCAAAGCTAAACGAGTTACTGCTGTTGTGCACGCGAACTGCTAGTTGTGTGGGGGCATTTTGTTTATATCAGTGTAACCATACACAATGTTCATTACTCATTTCATATATCATAATCTAAAAGGTTTTATATTTACTATATATTTGTTATATATTTACTTTATATATATATATTTTTTTTAATAAAATGTTTAACCTGCTTATTACCCATTAAATGATGTTCTTGTAGAAGATATAGTTGAAGTTGTCAGTACAAGAAATAATCTGCAAACAAATGGAAGTGCCACAAATATAGGAAAAAGATCAGAAAACACGCTCTCAGGCTATATCCACTCACTGCTCCCGAGATTCAGCTCTATCTTCCTGTGCATACTGAGGCAAAGACTATTTCCTGGCAATGCCCATTCACACCAACTTAGATTAATGAATAAATTTTTTGATGTGGAGTTGGGGACTTTGTCTGGTGAGTGTGCCCATACTATAAAGAATTCCTGCACCCCCATAGTTTTTTCACAAATGAAATTGGATGGTGTGCTTCGAAAATGAAATTGTCGATATTAGCAATAACAGCTTGTATTGAGACCAACTGTTCCCCCTCTCAAAAGATGTGAATACATGGGGGGGATATTAAGAAAAATAGTAATAAAAAAATATATGTACTCATGCACATACATAAAAAATTGTACTATAAAATCTATGCCACTGAACAGATTATGAGCCTCTACAGGATAAAGTTTACACAAAAAAAGGACCATCCGACCAGATACGAAACTCGTGTTTTCTTAACCATTTTGATCTGCATAAAACACCAAGTCTGCAAAAGTTTGGCTGACAACTGGGATAATGGAATAAGCTACAGATGCCAAACACCAATTACAGGTAATATAGAATACTGCATAGCATACCACGCGGTCCCCACGTGGTTGCCATGTGCTACCTGCATGGGGAGTAGCAGTGCCTCGCCCAGGCCATGCTTGTGCTCTGCGCTCCCCTCTGGTCCGACTATAAGAGGCCAACGCTGACTCGTTCCCTCACACCTCGACGAGCCAGCCTTGACCAGGTCACTCACTCCAGGTCACCCGCCCTCGCAGGGCGTGAGGGCTGCCCCTCTCTTTACTCAGCACCGCCAGATACACTGTTCTTGTATCATTATTCTAGTGTATTTAACGTGCTTGTAACTCTTAAGAAATAAAGAGAACAGCCACGAAGTGCATCACTAGCCACCACCAGTAATTCAAACTACACAATATAGAAGGCCGTTCAACCCCTAACACCGGGTACATTTTGTAGCAAAATAAAATCCGGGTGGTTACAAAAATCTGCGGGGGCCGGCCGCGGCCCACTGCTGAGTCAGAGCGCTACCCGACACTGTCACACTGGCAGGATGCGCAGTGTTTATTTTTTCGGGTGTCTCAGATATGGGACACCCGGCGTGATTGGGTTAAGTACCTCTTATACCAATTCTAGAAAAAGAATATTTTTCTAATAGCACTTGCGTATCAAACAAATCTAGCAGGGAAATTGCGTCTAAAAGTAAAAGATTTAAGCAAATTATCCAGTAATCTAGTTATTGCGATAAATATTTGCAGTAATTAGGGTGCTTCACCGACTAACCCCTAACTAAAGGACATATATGGTACAAGCATTTTAAACATGGATTGACTCTTGCTGGGCAAGTTTTGTTGGAATTCAAATATCTGATAAATTGGGTGTGGGGAAAAAATAAAAAATAAAAAAATAGCTGCAACTTCAGATTGGCATCACTACAGGCATTTGCGAATTTTCGTAGTTGGTAACAAGTGCTAATTTCAGAGGGAAAGTTTGGTTTGGACTTAAATTTGCACAATACCCTGGTTATGGGGCCATCTCTGGTGGGAGTTACTCATTGACAGACAAATCAGCCCAAATTTGATCCTGCCAGAATACATGTAGTTGAGATTTGTTGGTATAAATCAAAGTGCCAGTAAATATTCAACAGCCATTACTGGACACACTGTCGCTAATTTCAACTCGGCAATTATCTCGACCATAAATAAAATCAAATTTTGCATGGGAAGTGTAAGGAGTCAATATATTAACCCACCCGCGCCGGGTACATTTTTGTAGCCAAAATTTAAAAAATCCGGGCAGCTACAAAATCGGCGGGCGGAGCTTCCCCGGAGTCTGTCCGCCCGCCCGGCCCCTTCTGCCGCGGAGCGCGGCTCCGAGACAGCATCGCACTGGCGGGCAGCCCGACACTTTATTTTTTCCCTGTGTCTCATATGTGAGACACCCGGGACGAATGGGTTAAGGAAGAATCTAGTAGTGAATGCCAATTCTACAATAATTAGCGAGAGACTGCAGACTGCGACCCTTAATAAAGTTATCTAAAATACCTAGTAAATCTTTTGTCAACACCTACACGCAAAAAGGTACTCCATCAAAGGGCAATAAGCTGCATCCATGAAGTAGATACCCTTGAGACTGGAAGCTTTCCGATATGTTTGGTGTGAATATAGAAAACATTCAATATCAGGAAAGTAACAACTCAGATTTCACGAACATCAAATTCAACTTGATTTACTTTACAATTAATAATACTCAAAATCTGGCCAAGACTGATATGACCAAGATTTCTCAAACTACCAGTTTATTGTGATAATGACTGCCAAATAATTAATCGAGATTTGTGTAAAGCCAACCAACTCACCTATATTTTTTTTCTGACGAATTCCATCTAAAAAATCCTTACCTTCTCACGTGCCTACATACACTCGCTCATCTAGTCAGGGATAAGAATCCATTCCTCACACATGATAAAGTTACATGAAGAAAATACTAATTTTCCACACACCAGAACACGGTAAAAATACACACAAAAACGATTGCGGCAAGTCACTTTTTTTTTCCTTGCAAAAATCCTTTTCGTCTTTTCCAATTTCCGAGTACGAGGGGATTGGCACACAGTCCCGGCAGTAAAATAAATCCAAACAAGCCCAAGGCCCCCAAAAACCCAACGTAGTCTCAGAGTCGCCAGAAAACACCACGTGCTCAACACGCCATGACTCCCTCTCTCCCGCCGGTCGCGCTCACTTATTCCCTCATTTTTCTCCTTCCCTCCCACTTACCAAGGACTTCTTTCGCTTTAGCAGGTGCCTTGGGTTGTTCTTCAGGCTTGGCTTGTGTCTCCGGGTCCGCCATGGTGGTACAGATGGAAAATGGGTGGTTCTTTGGGTGAATCCCCCGTCCCTGATGTTTTCCTACACTCGGCTCTTGCTCTTCCAGCCAGCACGGCACGAGGGGGCTGCTAAGACACCTCAGGCGCGCGCTGATTGGTCCATTTCTGCCACACGCCTTGTCTCCCCGCTTTCGATTGGCTTGTGAGGAGTTCTTTCCCTAAGCGGAGTTTTTTATTGGTCGAGGTAGAAGCTTGTACTGAGTTCGCTTTGGCTTTTGAGAGATTCGGATTTTCTCAAATTTTTCGATTGAAAAATTATCGTTCTTGATAGTGTTTGTAGGATATCGTAATTTGTGAATGTGAGAAGCAATACTACCCATAGGTTTGTTTTTTAATGATACGTGGGAAGCCATTTTGCTTTTGGGTACATATAAAGATCGTATTTCTTTCGTTTTTTTTTTTCTTCCACACCCTGATCTGAACACATAAATTATATAGAATTCTGAATATAGGTATATGTATAGAATTTGTATAATTTTCACTTTTTTCAAGGCTTTTTATGTATTTATTATCATTGAGTTCAAACCACGCACATAAATAGAAAAATAACATTGAATTATACCTTCATAGACTCACATAATACCTTGGCTTCAATTACATCAGTTTTATCCCGTAATATTGTTAATATTTGTAATGTTTACATGAGAGTAACACTGAACGGGTACAGAGTGAGAGGGTTTCCCAGCTAATATCGATTTTAAGTATATGGACTCCAGATGTACGACAAATTGGCGTGGGGACGAATGCCAGCATTATTTTAATATCTATGATGCTCCATCAATTGCGCGGAGGGTGTTAATCAAGAAATAATTCAATTGTTTGTATTAAAAACAGCACGAATCAAGTAGTTTTCAATAAAAAGAAAGGTGTAGAGTTCTGGCAGTCAGCCTGCACAGCAGCCTTACATGTGCTAAGCGGTGGGCTACTGCGCCGCCGTGCGTTTGATTTTGACCTTTACTTTTCCTCTACCTTAAGGCTCAAGTTGCGAAATTTTGGTACAAGCTTCATATACCGTTTAAGTTCTCTGAGTCGCATTTTGATCCTTTTGAACTTGGTGAATAAGGCTGATGTCCCTTCCGCTAAGGCAGAGCTGTCGTACCTTACGCAGTCTGACCGGATGTACAGCGTCGATATAATGTATAGGATAATGAAGAGGATAATATGCCGGTTTTCTTCCTTAAAGATATTCATTTGGTACATAGTTTAAGAAAATGTAAGAAAATAAGATACAAAAGCAAAGAAAAGAGAGAGCAAGAAGACCAAGTCGGAGGAAAATAAAGCTCTCTGCTGCAATCATGTATAAAAAAAAGCCTT